CATATCCCGCAATAGCAGCCCAGGTACAACATCCTCTCTCCTGCAACAGGCCTTGTCTGAGAAGCAGGTACAGTCATGCTATTCATAAGCACATTTAACAGACATCAAAATGGGATGAAAATTAACATTTCTCATTTATATTGGTCCCAAACACAAACATTCAAACCAAAACATTATCAAAAAATACAGTATATAGTACACACATAGTTTCAACACAAATCTAGACATAAGGTTTTCTATTGAATACATATACATATGAATAATCAAAGATTTGCCTGTAGAAGAAAGTGCCTTATGGAAAAAAGAATACATATGTAAAAATACATATATAATTTGGATTAATACACATAGATGTGAGTTACATAACATATACTATCTAATGTAGTACTCTCAGCATTACAAGCAATAAAACACAGGATATTCTGTTAATAAAACTGACATACATCATTACTATTACAAGTGTCTTGGTCAAACTAAAGACATAATTTGACATTTTGGCAAATTTATTCACTTCTTGCCAATAGTAAGATGAGAAAATCAAAACTCCTAAGTTTGTATGTTAAGTATATTTCTAAAGTCAGCAGTCACAATAGTTAATTTAGCACAAATTATTCCTCTAAGTTAGAAACTGGCCTGAGTTTAGCAATGAACAAAAAAGTAACCTTTGAAATTTTCTAGCTGAACCTATAAAAACTGTTTAATCAAATCATGTAGGAGGAGACTTTCCAGCTGTTTATAGTAGTAATAGTAACAAATATTCTTCAAATTAATGTCGTAATGCAGTTAGTGTGCATGTGAACATATTACACGCATGCTCACACACACACAGGGATACAGTATGTGTGTCACTGCCACTCTCCCTCCGTGCAGCACAGAGAGTGGTGCAGCACATGAGCTGTATCTCATATCTCAGTGGATGATGTTCAGTTTATTAAGATATCTCTGTTACACAGGTGCCATCATCAGAGTGGACTTATTGCAGAAATCAATGCTTGACGTCCTCAGCCACCCCCCCCAGCACATCCATCTGCCACAACAATCACTCTCTAGTGTGAAGCAACAGCTGACAACAAATAGATACACCTAGTGGGAGCTAGTTATTGTGGAGTGTGCCCAGGAGATAGAGGTCACTGTTGCCAACGGGTTGAGAGATGAGGGAACGGAAATGTTCTGACAGTAAATTACATGCTGAATTCTCATATTTCATCGAAGGCCTCTGCATAAGAGGGATGTTATATATCACCGGTATGGCTTATTGGCCTCTGCATAAGAGTGATGTTATATATCTCCAGTATGGCTTATTAACCTTTGACCCAAATAAATTAAATACATTAATGTGCACCATTCAGCAAACACACAGCATATACATATCAAGTTGCTGTCTTATTTGATGTAGTGTTTTTACACATAGTATTTTTATTGTAAATTAAAATATGCATCAGTGTGGACATATCTCAGACATTGAATCTAATATTCAATGCCCATTCCCTTGACCTCATGTTTTTAGTGTTATTCTAAGGCTTTAATTAAAAACAACTGCATGTGATGTTTTTAAAAATTACACAAATTCCATTATTAGCCTGAGCAAACACCTTTGATGGACATTTAATATGGTCAGAAACACATTCTCAACAGCCAGTCTTATTGTCTAATGAGCCAGAATATTACTTTATCTCCTATTGCTCCCTATTCATGCTCTGCCTTTCTTAAGATTTGCTTTAGACTCCGGCTCCTATTAAAAAGAAGCTTGAAGGTGAGGTCCTTCACAGGGCAGGCTGCCAGGTAATGACTAACTTTAATTGCTTATGTCTCATGTCCATATTTCTACAAAAAGTCCTCTATAAAGAGGGCGCGTCACCCTTATTTAGAAAAAAGTGTAGTAGACATCTGCTATACAGTACCATCACCTCATTAATGCTGCACCAAGACAAGAGCAATTTAGAAGTTTTTACATGGTCTCAACCCTTAATTTTTTATCCACTTGTGTCTGTGTCTCTCTGACCATGACACCTTCTTTCTGTCTCTTGCTGTCCCTTGGCACAAAATAAAAGCAAATTGCTTATCTTTGACATAACACGCCAGCTTTTACTCATGAAAGACTTTGCATAAATGTCATTCAGGTCAGCGAGTCCCACTGGTAATCAAGCTGGGACAGTGATTAGGTGAAATTAATTGCGGGCCTCTGTCGCTCATGGCTGACAGCCTGGGAGCCTGATAGGAGCTCTCTTCCCAGGTGATCAGGCTGCTCAGGCAGAGAGAGTGAAACACTTCAAAGCCAAGGAAAAAATAGAAAATCTCGCTTTAGATTAGCACCTGGGAATGCAACCGAATGCAATTAATGCTCGAGTCCAAGTCTTCAGTGCTCAAGTCCGAGTCAAATCCTGAAAATCTGGACTCAAGTTGGACTTGAGTCTGAGTCCTGGGCTCGAGTACTACAACACTGGTATGTACACGGATATCTGTGTGTGGGTGGGTGGCTGGGTGCGGGTAGGTGGAGTGAGGTAATGTGTGTGAGTTTTTGTGCAGGTGTCTACTTTTTCTGGAAAGGGGTGGGGGACATGAAAAGGAGAAGCTAATGTTTGATGTGATAATGACGAACCTTCTTAGCCTTCATCTTCTCTTTTATTCAGACCACTTGTGCCTATTTGTCCGACAAATTTCTTGGTAGGCCTATAAAGATGAAACCTGCTATCTGCTGTCCACGGGGGAGCACCAACATCTTCAGGTTTTGTTCATGTTTTTCTCACTTCAGAGAATAAAAAGATTGGTGATAAACTGGATGTTATGCCTTTTGTTCCCATGTCTTGTGAGACCTCCTGTGACACACACACACATGCGATCTGTCTAGCATGTGTCATGCTGCCCCACCCTCATGTCTTAATATCAGAGAAACCCAGAGCTTTGAGGCTTGTCGTGGTTGGCGGGAGGGAGCGGGAATGATGCTAAGGTTAGCTCGCTGGAGCGTTTAGCTGTACACGGGCAGATTTACTGGCCTGTGAACTCATAAACCTGCAATTACAAACCCTAACAACTCTGGCACAGGCGGCCTGTACACTGCAATTTTCCTCAGGGCCCTGGGATTTAAGCTTCACTATCAGTCAAGCATGACTTCAGAAGCTAATTGCACAAGAGTGACACACGCACACACACACATGCCATCGTTACAGGAGGAAGACTGACGGTGGAGGTGGAATTTTGTTTGAAATTCATCAAATTTTAATCCAGTACATACATTTCCATATTTATGTCTTCATGCTCCTAGCATCCACTTCCTCTCTGCATATCATTTGGACCCTATTCATAGCTCAAAATGCTTCTTACCTAATACAGAAACACACACTCACTCTTATCACAATAACCAAAAATAAAGACAACCACGTATCAGGTCTGGCACTTAAAGACACGTGTATCACAGGTAGATAGGACTGACAATGATTCACTCTGTTTCTGCCACACTTGGCAATAAATTGGTTGTTTGAAGCAGGAAACAGATGAGGGAGAAGCTGGGTAGTGTCAGAGATAAGATGTAGGATTCTTACTATCCTCCTCCTCTCTGTAATGAATCAGTATATTTACTTTGAGCAATCTGCTCCCCTAGAACAGCCCTCCAATTGCTCTGTATTCTCCAGAGCATTTCCACCCCCTGCCTTGTTTTTCTCCACCCCCCTAGAGGTAATTGCTCTTACCTGAGACACTGTAATGGATCCTGAATGAAGTTTTGACCATGGCTAGATTTTGATTAAGGGCCTGTAGGGCAGAACTTGTCTTTAATGAAACTGAGGAATCAGCATTCTCTGACTGGGGTGTTAAGGTTGGATGCTGTGCACTGTGGCCCACAGGCACCTTGATTAGGACCTGATCTTCAGCAAATTCAGGAGTGGGCCACAGCTACTGAATTAAAAGCAATAAAATCATCCATTAATAATACTTCAGACGTGTAGCTTTTCTCTGGAGGCTTATAATCGTTAAAAAGTTAATTATTCATTTGCACTCACTCGCTCATATATTCACACACCAGCTTTCTTAATCATTCAGTCATCTACCTTTTGCTCAATCACTGATAAACTAATTCACTCCTTAATAACAATCATTTTCCCCTTCATATGCAAAATGCTGGCCTTTATCAGATAGAATTTTAGCACGTAGGATAACTCACATTAGTTTCTCTCATCTTCTTGCTTAAATTGCCTTTTTGCTCATGTTAAAAACTGATTGCATCTTGGATGGAGATGAAAGTGAAACGGCTAGCACTGCACGCTCTTTGAGGATGCAGATGGACATAATCTAAAAGGCAAGTATTAGCATGCTAAAAGACACCACAGCTATGATGAACACTATTTGCCGAAGCTTAATGTGATAGCTGGATAAGATGATTAACTCTGAATCCATTTAATCATCTGCAAGTGCTTGTTCATATACCCAACTGTCTAGCGTTGGGGTAAAACTTCCTTCAGATCTGTTGGGCAATGTTTAGAGTTTGTGTCAAATTACAGAGCACCGAAATCAGAGCTGAGGCCAACCCAACGTTATTCCTTAAAGTGATGGATGTAAAGCATCATTTTGTGTTCAGTATTTGTCATTGCTGCTGATAGTTGAAGCTCACAGTTTGGTGGGCCCTGGAACGCATACAGTACAATAGCAGTTTGCTTTGACTAGGATGACAAAGTGCCCTTCGGCTTAAGTAGTTGGCCTCTCTCCTCCTTTCACACATCAGTCCCTGTGTGCATGCCAATAACTGGCTTTCCTAATGCAATGAGGATTCTGACCTCTTTAACCACAATCAAGAAGCTCTGATTGAGGGAGACTGTATTTGTGGATACTGATAATACAAAGATTTTAGACTGGGTTTGTTTATCGCTACCACAGCTGAGCAAATACAGTGTATGTTTGCGCATGAAATGGGTTGATCCAAGACATCGACGACTTGTTCGTAAATTGAGCAACTCATGGAAAAGCGTTCATTGATAGCCTCCTTCTTGTTGTGTGTGCTCCTCTCACAGATCTTGATGACCCGGTGGTGACAGTGCATCAGAGCATAGGAGAAGCTAAGGAGCAATTTTACTATGAGAGGACCGTGTTTCTGCGCTGCGTGGCCAATTCCAACCCACCTGTCCGCTACAGCTGGCATCGCGGGAGAGAGGTCCTGACGCAGGGCTCAGACAAGGGCGTGGAGATCTACGAGCCGTTTTTCACACAGGTAAGACAGAGGCAACATGGATGAAGATCTGAAATCATGAAGAATGGTAGATGCAAAGAAATGGCTGCCATTTCATTCAGTACACTATACCAAGATATAATGCTCTTACTTATAAAATATGAAACAGACTGAAGATTTTGGCAATCCCAATTCTTTGAATGGTGTTTTATGTTGTTGTTATGGACACATTCAGCTTTTGCCCTCCCCTGCATACTGCAGAGGAAAAACAAATAGGCTGGTAACAGAACTGATTGGATGTGAAACGACCCTAATAAACTTGGGATGGCATAGCACCAAATGTGTTTGTTCATCACAAGCTAAATTTG